GTGTGTTTGGGTTTGGGGGGTCAGTGTGTTTGGGTTTGGGGGTCAGTGTGTTTGTGTATGTGGTTGGATTTGGGGGTATTGGTGTGTTTGTGTTTGGGAGGTCATTGTGGTTTTGTGTGTGTTTGGGTTTGGGGATGTTGGTGTGTTTATGTTGGGGTGTCAGTGTGTTTGGGTTGGGCTTGTGAGGGGTCAGGGTGTGTTTGGTTTTGGGGATGTTGGTGTGTTTGTGGGTCAGTGAGTGTGTGTGTGTTTGGGTTTGGGGGTGTTGGGTGTTGTTGGGTGTGTTTGTGTGGTGGCATTTGGGGGAGTATGCAGGTTGGGGGTGTTGGTGTGTTTGTGTTTGTGGATCTTGGTGTGTTTGTGTCTTTTGCTGGATTTTGGGGGTGTCAGGGTGTGTGTATTTATGTTGGGGTGTCAGTGTGTGTATATGTGTTTGGGTTGGGTTTGTGAGGGGTCAGGGTGTGTTTGGTTGTTTTGGGGATGTCCGTGTCTTTGGCAATAGCACAGCCTTCCTGAGGTTTAATTTAGGTTGTAATATGAAATTATCAAGCTAATCCTGCTTCAGTGATAGGTGTGATTGCTGCATCCTATGACATTTTTAACTCTTGTTCTGTTCTTAAACTTAACACCATTCATTATTTTTGAAGTACAGTATTGAGGGGTTTTCCAAACAAATTATTTCCTGGAGGCTGCTACACAGACATCTATTCAGCTGTGGATTTAAAGGAGTGAATTCTAGCCTAACATTTCTGTCTCCTAGGGCTATGAATGCTATTTTTTCAAAAACTGGTACTACTAATGTCAAAAGGGAAGCAGCAATTCACTGCTGATTCTTTTCTTTGTAGTTTGGATGATGGAGTGGGCAGGCCAGGCTGTTGTCTTGTGTTTTCTCTGGCCCAAAGGGAGGAAGTGCAGGAACAGTAAAGTAGCAAACTGCAAGAGGCAATAAGGATCACCTTCCAGATTTCCCTGCCTGAAACTACTTCATACTCTCTTAATTGCATGGTGCTCTGACTCATTAGTTTCTTAGTACAAATCATTTAATTGGAAACTTAGTAATATTTTACTATCTGTTCACTGTTTTACTCTCCTTTCATGTTCTGAGAGCTAGAGGGTAAAGACTTTAATCTCCAGTGGTGATGGAACAAAACAGTTTTGTCAGAGGTGTCCTTGTGCTTTTTTAAAAAAATTTTCTATCTAGCTCTTCACATTTGTTGTACTCATGTTCTTACTGTTCTTATCACAGAGGCTTAGGATTGCTTATCACTCCAATATCCATAGCTGATATCAGAGGACAAATTTCAGGTAGTTCAGTGTGTGGGCAGGAGCCAGTGACTAATTAAGAGGAATGCTAATAATCATTGGCATTTAGCTGTCGTCCACTCAGCGTAGGCAGTAAATGAATGGCACACAAAAGCAGACTTTAATTTCTTTACTTTGTTTTCTGGCTGCATAATCCCTTTAATCCTTTGCTATCAGAGTTTTTTATTAATTAAATGGAATCTCTGCAGGCTCAGTGATTCACATTTCAGGGCAAATACGTGTATTTAACGGGGGAGGGTTGGCATGGCTCTCACTGGGCAACTTGAGGTTTAAAACAGTTCTTCCAAGGTTGTTTTGTAAATGAATGTGTTTTCTTGGCAGTCAGACCTGTAGGATCTTCACTGCTTAAGAGCTGTGTTCCAGTTTAGCAAAGAATTCCTGCTTGGTGAAAGGAAACCATTGGTGATATCACGGCAAATTTCTACAAATTGATGTTAGAGGGAAATTACATTTTTTGTTGTAGATTGTATTAAAATTTCTTATTACAATGAAGACAGGGACAGTATCCAACAGCTGTTATGCTCAGCTGACACTGAACCTGTGGGGGGGATAAGCTCCTTTTACAGCCCCTGTATTAGGGAAGGTTTGTTCCCAGCTGAGAGAGGAGCTGAGGTGACACTTGGTCATAAAATAAAACTTTGTGTAGTTTTAAGAATGACATTTACCTTGACTTTCAAACAGGTGACAAAAAGTCAAGTGGGGTGGTACAAGTTTCCTATTGGTATTTCCTGTGTGTTGTCTCATTGGAGTGGAACATCTCCCACAAAGGTGTTAGCATCAGAAAACTCTCAGGGAAGACTGTGCTTCTGTCCTGTGAAGGATCTGATAGAAAGATTGAAAATAAGAAATCACATTCTGCTTTAAAAAAATTTTCTGAAGTGTACATGTTTTAGAGGAGCCCCTCCATTCTCAGACTCTCTACCATCCAGAATTATTAGGCACAGAAACCCCATTTGTACAGAAGGTGAGAAACAGAAACCCTTTTGCTACGAACCTTTTACTTTCCTTAGCCACACAACTCCTACAAGAAATTACCAAGCCAAGGGATGTGATGAACATGATTTTAATTACTGGTGCCACTAACTATGCCAGGAAATGATGCTGGTTCTAGAAGCAATAAAAAAGCAGCAGGCTCCTCTGCTTATGCTTATCTTAAAGAGACTTTTTCTCCTTCTTCCGTGCCCTCAGAACTCTGCTGACATCACTTGGGCCTCTGTACATGGTCTGGCTAAGAGGACAATTTCTGACTTCCAAGAAAAACAGATGGAAATTCAAGAAGCTTGCATCTGGCTGTTACCTCATCCTCAGCCACCTGGGCTGCTTGAGAGTTGTCAGGGCATTCCCAGTTCCATTTTGCTTGCTAAATAATACATTACTGTTAAAAGAGAGACATGCACAGAAAGCAGAGAACACTTAAAACTCAGAGTTACCATAGAATTAAAATATGATTTGGGCTGGAAGGGATCTTAAAGATCATCTGGTTCTACTTCCCTGCCATGGGCAGGGATCTTACCAATTGATCAGGATGCTCCATGTCCTGTCTAACCTTGAGCAATCCCAGGGACTGGGCAAACCCAGCTTCTCTGGGTAACCTCTCTCAGGGCCTCACCACTCTTCTAAGTAAAGAATTTCTTTCTTAACACCTGATTGAAATTTCTTCTAGTTTAAAACCTTTGTCCTGTCAGTGTACAAAGTTCCCCTCCCTCTTCTTTATAACTTCCTTTTAAGTACTGAAAGGCTTCAGACTCCTGGAGCTTGGAAGGAGCTAAACTGCAAATAAGCCGTTCTTCTTTCCTCTATCCCTTCCAGTGAAGGGGCGACAGCAAAGCAGAGATTCTGGTTTCAAATAGCAATTTCCTAACACCAGAAAGCAGTGGAATGAGACACACAACAACAGCTGTATTAATTGCAAAAATATACAAAAGAGAAGTTGTTTCACCCACAAAAGTGTATCACTACAGAGAACAAAAAAGCATGCTGGCAGATGCTTCCTGTTGATCCTGCCTTTGCCCTGACCTGCTCCATGTAATATTTGGGAAGCAAAGGCAATGTGGGGAGGAGAACTCCTCCAGCCTGAAAACAGCAAAAACCAGAGACAAATAACCCCCAGAGCTCCATTGTTCAAATCAGAGCTGTGTAGCCACTTAGCTGAGCTTGGTTTTTCTGCAGATGCTTTTGCTGCCACTTCTCCACTCTTGGAGGGGGAAAAATGTCCCTGTTGGTGCTGACCTGGTGCCACCTGGCCCTGCTGGCTCAGAGCTGTCCCTCCATCCCCTCAGTGTCAGCCCAGGGACAATGGGAGGGGGAGGCAGCAGAGGAACTGAGGTCACCAGAGCTCAGGGGACGGTGCATTGCTGTGAAATGGAGCTGTATCACCTGCACACATTGGACAACAGATGTGTGTGCCAACAAAGTCTGCTCATCATTAATTCAGGCCTCAGTGCTCTCAAATAACAGAAGTCACAGGTAAGATTATCCACATATTACTTTGATTGAAAGGAAGGTTGTTTCTAATATTTTATTCAGAATGTACTTTATTTTGTGAATGACTATTCCCTGAAACAGTCCAGAACTCCAGTTTTGGTGGAAATGTGTCCTCACTGGTCACTAAGCAGATTTATTTCTGCTTCAGGTTAATGGACAAGAGGAATAAGGGGTTTGCACTTTATTTGAAGCATTTCAAAATATATGCAGAATTTAGTAGCAACATGTAACATTCCAGTCATTATCTCTTTTTTTCCAAGGAGAAAACACCAGATGTTTTGAGTTACAGGATGTATATATTAATTCTCTACCTTCTGTTTGGGCTAGAAATTAATGACGGGCAGAAATAGTCTTTTTATCTTGTTCTAATATATAGTCAATGATGCAAAGGTCATTCTTTGATTTATAAACAGATAGCTTTATAAAAAGTTTGGTGGCTTTTCATGTGTCCTGTTCATGCCTTCAAGTTTGATTTTGATGTAATGGTTGGAAGTACCAATAGAGAGAAGACTTGAGCTAGGGAGAAAAATAAGAACTTCACAATTCAGGCTTTTTATGGCACTTATTTTCTCACTATATAAAACTTACTATTTTATATTTACTTGTACGTAAGTTTATCAAAATGTGTAAGTGGCTTGGTGAAAAGAACCTGCTGAACGAAGAGATGGCTTGTCATTGTTCAAATGCAAAATAGCTTTCTTTTGCATTGAAATCAGAGAGGGGAAAATCACCTTTAACCCACATACTGGTGGGTTTTCATTCTGTTTTTTGAATAACATTTACTGAAGTAATAAAATATGTGAGGTTTGTGAATGGTTAAAAACGGTGCCGTGAATGTCCTGACTCAAACATGTATTTTCTTTTTTTCTCAAGACCAAAGTTAACAGATATTTGATCAGAGAGACAGATACAGTGTCTGATGTTAAAATCTTTCCAACCTCAGTTCCAAAAATAGTACCACAAAGATATCACACTTACAGCTGCAGTGTACATAAAGTTTACGTCACCCAGAAGATCAAAGCTGAATGATGTAGGGCTGAGGGTGGTGCAGTCCAGCTGCAAAGTTACAGCTATTTCTAAGTTCAAGTCAACCACAGCTTCTCTCAGTGTTTCCACTGCCTCCCTCCAGCCAACACAACAGCAGATGCTGCTGTGGAGCCTCTGCAGCTCAAGATTTTCATGGCTTCTTTTCCCCTGCATGTAAGGACATGGCAGGGGTGAGGGATTTGTTTCCAGGGGTGATGGGATCAAATGAGCTCCATCTGTATCTGCAAATAAACCTCAAGACTGCTGGGTTTGAGCCAGACTTTGGGAGCATCTTTGACTCCAGACTCAAGAGGATGGCTGGTATTAAGAGATCATGAATGTCACAAGCGACTCCACAATGTGATCTCCTTTTTAGCTTCAGATCCCTTTGGAATGCATGTAAATTATGGCTCAGGTAACATTAATGATGGACCAGAAAACTATTCTGCACCTCTGTTAGAGCTTTTAAATGCAGCATTTCTTTCTACATGTAAATCAAGAACCACTTCTCAGAAATATCCTTATTCGTAGAGGAAGAAAATCAGCAAACTGTTTTGAGGGTTTTTTATTATTTTTTAAAGAAATATTAAAAAAATACCTTTTCCCCAGTAGCTAGACTATTTACTGCCCTAACACTCAGGTGCTGACACTTGCTCTATTTACATAAACAGATTCTTGTTCTGTGCTCCAAAAGAAAATGTGGCTGACTTGGACAGTTCAATTTCTAGTTCACCAGGAGATCTCTCAATTCTGTGGATTTTCCAGGATTCTGATATTCACCTTGTTCTTCCTCAGGGAAGTGGCAGCTGCAGGCATCATCCTCCTGAACTGACTGTTCAGGTGTGTGCACTGGAGAAAAAGAACAGATTCACAGAATCAGTTGGGTTGGAAAAGACCTCTGAGACCATGTAGTGCAACCTTTGACCATCCATGCTGTTACCCAGACCATTTCCAGCTGTTTCTTGAACACCTCCAGGGACAGTGACTCCACCAGCTCCTGGGCAGCCCATTCCAATCTTTAACAACCTTTCCTGGGAAGAAATTCCTCCTCATCTCCATCCTCAACCTCCCCTGGTGCAGCTTAAGGCTGTGTCCTCTTGTCCTGTCACTGGGAGGAAAGGCTGATCCCCACCTGGCTACAGCCACATTTCAGGGAGGTGTAGAGGGCAGGGTCTCCCTTGATCCTTCTTCCTCTTGACTAAACAACCCCAGTTCCCTCAGCCACTCCTCGATGACTTTACCTTCTAGATTCTTCCCCAGCTTTGTTACCCTTCTCTGGATTCACTCCAGCACCTCCCTTTCTTGAAGTGAGGGGCCCAGAACTGGACAAATGTCCTCTTTCTCTTTCATTTATTCAGCCATCTTATTTCAACATCCCTCACTCACAAATGCCGGATGTCAGAAAGAAAAATCCTCCAAGTTATTCTATAATCTGAAATTATTCCTCTACAGCATATATATCTGATAAAACTAATTTATCACACTTTGTTTTCCCTAATTCAGCAGATCTTGTTTATCATGGCAACGAAAGGAAAAGCAGCATGAGGGAAATAGATTTTTGGACTGCTGTGGTCTAATGTATTTAGAGTTACACTAGAAGATTCAGACCTTATCCTTAGAACAGGGGAAAAGAAGAGAAAGAGAGAGAGAACCCTTCAAAAAACTGAACAAACCAACTATAAATGACATTGAATGGAATCAGCTTCATCTTTGTGCGGAACACTTGTGCTCGCCTGTCACCCTGATTTTTTAAGATTTTCTAAGCCTTCTGATGTTTACATTCTTGTAACAAACTTTCTCGCACACTTTCTATAAATAACTTATTGTTTTGCATTTTTTTATGGAGGAGGAGGAATTTGATAGGCTGTTGATTTGTCCAGTGTCATTGGAGAGGTGGCACTGTCACCCTCCAATCCACTGCCACTTTTGGAAAACTATAAATGTTGGAGTCAGAAAATAAACTTCCCTTTTCTTTACCTTGAGAGCAGCAGTGTGAGCTTGTGTTGTTTCACATCCTATTGTGACACTTGCCCAGGAGTTATGAGCTCTCAGAGGGCAGTGCTGGATTCAGGCTGACCCTGCTGATGTCCCCTCTCCCACTGCAGGCAGAGCTCCAAGGCCCTCACTGCAGGCCCTGTGTCCTCGCTGGAGCACAGAGAACTCCAAGGGGTTACGGCCACACAGGCCAGGAATGATGCTTGAAGTCATAAGCTGAACTGGCCTTTAACTGGAGCAGCTGAGATTTTTCATCTATCACAAATAGTCCACTTATAAGGACAAGTATGCACTTGACCTAACACCCACAGCAAATTTTCATTGCTTTCTGCAATAAAAATTCCAAAGCTGTTTCCCTTTCATTTGCTTCTGACTTACAAGGCCAAAAAACCCAAAGCTGTTGCAACTACCTTTGTAAGGCACTTAACCTGGATTCTTGACTTCTGTCCAGTTTCAAAAAGAAAAACTGAAAAGCATATTTATCTTACTTTTCTTGATATTTATCTTACTTTTCTTGAAGACAGCGTGTAGTTTCTTTTTCTGCCAGACACTGAAGCAGATGCACAAAGGCAGCAGGAACATCAAGCACGACAGCCCAGCCACAGCGAGAGAAATCCTGATTGTGTCTGCCTGAACATCCTTCCCTAGGAAACAAATAACATTGTCTAAGAGTCTTAACAGAACAAACTTCTACTGCCCTTAAATTAGCTGAAAACTTTGTCTCCCATTCTGCTTCTGGATCCGTCTGCAACACTGGAAATGCACAGAAGAAACGATTTTTGCTTTAAATGGAAGGTGAGTGTGCTACAGTATGTTTAAGTAGGTCATAATTCTTTACCTCCATAAGGAATATTACACAATGACTCACCTGGCACAGTGATATAAAATGGAATGTCAAGAGATGTTGTAGGTAGAGTAGTGACTAAAGTGGAATTAACTGAAGCATGTTTGCAAATGACATCTTTTGCTGGAGTTCCAGGCACCAGGATTTGGTTTCCAGAGCACCTGAAGGACATTTACAGCAAAATGGGGAAAAGAAAAAAAATATCTTAAATTCCAGTCAAGTGTACTAGCTGTAGCATTTTAACTTTTTTTTTAGTTTACTTACATTGTCCAGTTTTTGCAGGAGCCATTGGGCTGATCATTAAAGGTCCCATGGCGGCAAGGCTGGCAACCTTAGGTAAACAGGTAAAATTGTAATAGGTAAATTTGTACAAGATAACATTTAAAATGAAACGTTATTTTTGCCTGCTTGTACAATGTCAGAATTACTACTTCCTAAGCTGCTCTGAGTAGGCAAGGCAAGTCTTTCCCTGTCAGCCACAGACCAGTACAGTATTTGGCTAAAACCCCGGTTGATTTGGCACAAGATGCCACAAACCATGCCTGACTCCAGAGTTCTGTTTCCCTCATGCTGGCAGCCAAAGAGCAGCCATGCAAAAGGAACCAACTGGTGCAGGATTTGAGCTGCACCAGGGCTCAGTGTGGTGGGTTTGGCGGCTCTGAGCTCACACCACACACCATGCAGAGTGCTTAGCAGCAGTGGCGGCTTTTATCTCTCGAGGTCCTTCCTCAATCTGCTTCTGCCTGGTGCAGGAAGCAGAGGGGCTTTCAGCTGCTGGGGAAAGGTGATTCTACCTTTGCTGGTGCTCTCCTGGCCCAGGCCACAGCTTCGGGTGCAGAAGGTGCAGCGATCATTGCC